TTATTATTATTATTATTATTATTATTATTATTATTATTATTATTATTATTATTATTAATCTTGAAAATTAAACAAAAGGAAATGGACCACAGTAAGACTAGAAACGCGAAATATACAAGATCTGTCCCAAAAATTATACGCCCATTTTTATTTTAAGAAATATATAGAACCGATTCGTACAATTACTCAAGATTCTTCCAAGTTCAGCCCTCCTGCTTCAACACGCATGTTCTAACGAGATTTCCATGATTTATATGTCTTGGAAGACCTTAATTGGGATGTTCTTTAGTAACCTCGACATAGTCGTCTTGATCTCTTCCAGCGTCCCCAAATGCCGTTCTTTGATTGATATTTTTAACCTTCGGGATCAAACAAAGTCGGGCGGGGCCAAATCAGGACTGTAAGGCGGTTGGGAGAGCGTCTTCACAGCACTGTCACAATTCTTGCACACTCCCACTCGATTGTTCTTTTGGCAATCGATTAGCACTCTCAGGACAAGTTTCGCGCATAGCTTCCGCATTTGTAAGTTTACCGTCACAATCTTTTCACATTGGTATTCGTCAAGTATTTCTGACACATAGCAAACATTCATTCGTCGATCAAAGTTGAACAATTTGCACACTTTGTTAACCGAACTTTAATCTCGCGACGTTGAAGGGGTACATGATAGTTGTTCGTTGGCGACCTCCTCACGACCGTCCTTGAACATTTTATGCCACTTTGGCGCTGTGAATATGACATGCAGCTCTCATCAAAAGCCTCCTGAAGCAACTCGAAAGTTTCCTACGGTGTCTTCTCAAGTTTGAAACAAAACTTTATCGAGTATCGCTGCTCGAGAGTTTTTCCCAACTTCATTTCGACCGATCGACACGAAGGATCACTGAAACAAGAACTGTGACGGTAAAGAAGCTAGGAGTCGATTGGCGCAGGTCGCGCTGGGTTCCCAAGACTGCCGCCCCCACTTCGTGCAAGCAGTAACGCTCTGCGACGAATAGTTTTGGCAGAAGTAATAAGGCCCGTTACTTTTGGGACAAACCTTGTAAAACGGAAAAGTTGGTGTAGTGTTGCCGATCACGTATTCTCATACGAGAAATATTTCGCCCTTCACCCCAAGACAGACGACTATTGACTTATGCAGTGTTAGACACCGGCTGCAATGAACAACGTATTAAAGTTATTATCGTAGTAGAATCGATTACTAAGAGGGGATCGCCCAATTTTTATTAGAAGTAGCTTCGTGAACAGAACATTCCCGTCAACAGTGAAAACGTACGAACGGAAATCTGTTACAATGTGTCTGTAAATCATTTCAAAAAGGCTCTCAACAAGAGTTATTAATCCTGTTTGTAATACTATTCATGGTGATTAATTATTCATGAAATTCTAAGAATAAATTTTTAAATTTTCCCAGCTGAAAGATGTTAACACGTCATTTTCTCTTCCACAGCCTTTTACTTAATTCAATTTTCTTGATTAAGTAGTCATGTATCTGGTGTACCATCCTCCTCAACCACCGCATCACATGATGGCATAAATGGTATTAAATTGAATCCGATTGAAGCTTGACTGGACTACCGAGCCACAAACGTGTTCGTAGCGACACGTGGCTTTCCTTAAAAAAACTAGATATTGAGTAAGAGGCTTTAGAATTCTATGAAAATCTACTGAAAGTTTTAGATTGCATAAACAAAAACGACTGTATAGTAATATCTGGAGATTTAAATGCCAGAGGGGCAATGTTGAACTCCAAGGAAGTTTTGACGGCCGTAATAAATAATAATGAAAAATTAATTAATTTATCGACTTATGACAAATTAAAAATTACAAATACGTTTTTTGAGGCTTGGAGATCATTTCCATGGACGGCTAGACCCCGGAATTGCATTCTGTCAGTGGGAGCAAAAATCGAACTACACAACACGAAATTGGTAAGGACGACGCCCGATCTGAGAAGAGGAGCGGTCCAGGGACAAACTGAGTACACCCAATGAGTATTCGCCGCCCACGCCATTCACCCTCTCTATGCACAAAGTAATTCCCTCGCTTTCCTTATATTCCGTAAAAAGTGGAGGTAGTTGTTAGGCGCCAGTTCCCACTGAAAGTGCAGAAACCCAGGATAAACTACCGGGTTGCTCCGCCTAGTTTATCCCGGTAGTTTATCCTAGTAAACCCGGTAGTTTATCCTGGGTTAACTCTGGGTTTATCCTGGGTTAAAGTTAAAATATTTCTTTTGGACTTTCCAATACTTTGAATTTTTTAAAAACAAATGAAATTGAAATTGAAATCAGCAGATGCCAATACACATATTGGTTTTATATAATTCAAGAAGTGAAATAAATGTGTCAGGGAATTAAGAAATAAAAAATCTTCTGGATGTGAAGGAATTAGTTCAAATTTCACTAAATATATCATTCGAAAGTTCTTCGACCGATTCTGGATCTGTATTAATTTATTCTGGCAAGAAGGACATGTACGGGATGAATGGAATGTTACAGTTCTGTACGGTATATTTAATAAGTGAGTTAGATGATTCCCGGAAATTGTAGAGCCATTAATCAGCTATGTGCTGCCTACTAATTGCAGTTGACTATGAGTATAATGAACTCGAACTTAGTGACCAGTTCACTGGTTCCGATCCACATATACAGCAAATAAGAATGAAAAAATTCGGTTGCAGTAATCTCTCCACGTAAAATATAGTGAATTTAGGAAATAGTATAACTTTGAGAAAAAATACTTCATCTCAAGGTAGCAAATTTGAATAGCCTAAGAGTTTGCAGGCTGAGGATCTCGTGTGCTATTTTTGTAGCTTTTAACGACGAATGAATGGATCTGAGGGAATAAACCAATGAGAAAACTGTTTCAGCTCATGGCGTTTTCTGCGCTAACTGCGTTTCAGACGCAATCTGCGTGAAGAAAGCTAGTGAAATCCCATCTCACAAGGACATCGTAAAACAGAACTAAGATATTTAAGTGATATAACTAAGATATTTTGTGGATGTTAACAATGTAGACTCTATGCCTGATGTCTAAGAAGTTTCTCAAATATCGTGGTTCTAAAAATTCCTTAAGTACTTTTCATTGCTTTTCAATATATTTATTATCCCCCCCTTATTACTTTTATTGCTAGTTAAAATTTAAAATTAGAAAAAGCCGGCAAGTATTCTTAATCTATGAAAATTATGTTTTTTTCCCTTTTTTAATAAAATCATACTTGTGTAAAATCATACATGTGTTCTGAAAATACATAGGTATTACTGATATTTGTTAAATATATGTCGCCTCATAACTAACTTGTTCTGGTAAAAGAGATTCTCGTGTTCCTTACAAGATTTCTTACCTGTGGCCACTGCAGCCTCGGTGCCATTTTCGTCGACGCCAATGAATGTCTTCTGAACAATGTCGCTCACATAGAGGCCTGGATCAGCCATGTTGCTTAGATCCGCAGCCAACGTGAATACATCAACGATCCCCAACTACAAGGTAAAGAAACAAGTTTAGCTTTCGAGACATGATTTCGATGAATTCAGTCTGAAAAAAGAACCTTCGTTTCTGCTTTGTTCTACGATATTTCAACAGCCGAATCTCTTTATTGATGTAAACCTAACAATCTCCATTTCAGACAGGAATTTGGTCATGCTTAGGTTTTCCATACGACTCGATTGGCCAGAAATTTATTTTTTAAACAGCCCTTAGTAAATCTAGTAGGCCACTTGCAGCGTGCTAAAAGTTCAATTTTGAGAGCTAGTGCTAAAAGTGAAACGATGCTCAAATGTTTTGATAACTGTGAATGCAACAAAGGAAGCAAAATACTTTCGTCTGACCACATCAGCTGACAGTGACCTTAATGTAAAATGCAGCAGTACATAATTAAGTGATTTGTACATTTAAATTTCAAAAATGAACATCAACAAGGCTGGCTAAAAATATTGTATAGCATACGTAGTAAAAGTGACTTTATTTTTCTTGTTGGATTCCGACCCTCGACCTATCGGCTTGGTGTAGCAATATTTCTTACTCGTAAAATACAAGTAATGTGCTATTTTTACCACCCGAAACATAAATAAGTATTTTTACTTTTAGTGGGAATTTTTAAAGGTGTTTAAGCGGCTGAAGGGAAATATATTTAGTTCCGCACCGCGAATCGCTGTCGTCACTCAATTGTTTTACTAGGCAACCCGCTTGACGCGTGTGCGTTACCTCTTGAGGTGCAGCGACCCCTGCAAGTGTCAGGGGCTCACGTCACAATATTAGTGGGAACACCAAGAAGAATGGAGGAGAAGACGAAAGAATGAGTAAGGAGTAATAAAGGAGAGAAGAAGAAAAGATGGAAGAGAGAAGGAAAAGAAGAAATGAAGGAGGAGAGAAGGGTGGAGTAGAGCTGGAGGAAGACGGAAGAAAATAAAGAGAAGATAAGGTGACAGAAAAGAAAACGACCACGATTTGACCCAATATTTTTCAACAATAACGTATTATGCACATTGTTATTACTCATTTGTAAATCTCCACTTATTGAAAACGGTTTAATTATTGATTCAACATTATATGTTTTCTCTAACTTTTAAACTCTTAAGTCATTCCAAATTACTCATGTAAAAAGTAAAACCAAAACGAAAGGGCAGTTTCAGTGACCAATGCTAAAAAAATATGACCTTTTATTGCAATAAAATATCTTGCAAAGTGTAAGTTCAAACAGGAACTGAATATAATCCAAATTGGTATCTATAGAACATACGTAATTTGTGTTCCTTGAGAATACTTTGTATTTGTGTTTAATATTGAGCATTTCTTTGTAAAATGCTAACAGGAAGCAATTACTTATTTTTAAGTAACAATTAATCGGAGTTGGTTTTTATTCATTTCCTAATAGGAAACTTCGTACACCGAACGTTTACTGATTAATGAATAGAATAATTTAAAAGTATACACTATCTTAAAACATGTTTGCGCGACTATGAAGTACCCCCTTATCGAACCACATTTCGGCGTTGATCATCAAGAAATTTGGGGTTAACGGAAAAGGTTTACGAACACACAAACATCCATGCCCCGGGTGAGATTCAAACCCACCACCCGTCAGACACGATGCCGCTACTTCAGCCTTAGAAGCTATTCATGCCAGCCAAATTAAACTTTTGTGATGTAAATTTAAAATTAAAACTTTTTAAAATTAAATAGAACTCTCGTTTCTTATTTTTTTTTTTTTTAATTGGTAATTTTTGTTTCCCTTTTTAATGACAGGTCTATTCTCTTTCAAACAAGCATACTTGTATATTCAATAAAATAAATACGAACTATGAAAATAAATTTGATCTTTCTTAACTTTTCGTACACCATTTTACCACTGATGCCCGTATTAACAAAGTAAAGATTTTTAACATCCGTATCTTCCAGTATCAACATCAAGCATTGAAAGTTTTGTAGACTCAACAGAGGATTAGAATGAGTAATTTAATCAGATTCATCGTAATTCTTACCTGTTCCAGTTTGCCTTTAAGTCGGTGATTCGATTCAATTTTAAATTTAGGAATGGACAGGTGTACTTCTGCATATTCAGGGGTGAGATCAGCAAGGTTGAGTTGTCCCAAACCAGCTTCCAACCTCGATAGACCACTTGGAGTGTTTGGCACCAGAATTGTCATATCCATGTTGTCTTCCTGGACAAAAATTAGTGAATTGATAATTTTATTATTTTTATATAATACATTTTTCTTGCATAATGTTCTTGAGATAATTTAACATTCTAAGCCTATTTAATATCGTCGTTATTCGTTAGGTATTTTTGCAGAAAGAGACAATTTTATAAGAAAACTTACGATCTTTTTTGAAGCCCCTCATCGTTTATTGCGTTAAGGACATGAAACGAGCCTAGAATCCTTCGTGGTAACACTTCGGTTTATGGAAAACTACGTTCCCTCTTAGGTACAGTTTTCTATACTTCACTTTGGCAGTGACTTCAGTCCAACAGAGCTAATGGTATTTGAACATTTCTTCTATTAACTTCAGTTAGATAAGAGCACATCCAATTTGATAGTTTTATAAACTTCGGAGACACATTTGAACCGTAAATTCTTTCGATTTGTGCAAAGTCCGTATGCATCCACTGCATATGTGTGATACTTCAAGAGAAAATCACGGAAAATGGTTACTTACAAATAATACTTCGGTTTAACGTTTTATTGCAGTACAGAGATGAACAAAATATTTCAGGTTTTAATTTTATTACTCTAAGCCTAATGTAAGAATACACATATATTTCTCCATTTGAAACTTTGGAAAATTGATAATTCGTTCACTAAGACATTTATTAGTCGTTTTCTACTAAAATTATTAAATTTTATATTAAATTTTATTGACTGAGATATTTTATTTTTTTAATCATACATTCAAAACAATATTGATGTGCCACTATATGGAAATGACTTAACTTCAATACAAATTACATTTTCAGAGAATGAGACTTTCCATGCTTCACTTCAAGCACAAGTAAACAGTTTCCATTTAACTATTCTAATGGAAAACAAGGGTCCATAGTTCAATTGGCATGCATTTTTTTTAAAAACACAATCATTATTTTATTACTTTACGTTCTGTATCGTTTCCAGGTCGGGGGAAAATAGAGTTATAGCTTTCCTTAAAATCGTCTTAGTTTTTGTAGTTATGTGAAGAAGTAACGCTCAGGCAGGCGGAGTTGGCTAGTTATAGGGAAGGGAATAGGTCGTATTCACCACATATCTTTCTTAACCAGCAATCGTGGGAATTCACTGAGCCCAGGCATGGGGGACACCGTTAGCAAGCCGGCAATGTCGGACAATCGACCCTAAATGTCAAATACATACAGTTCTGTATTTCAGAATATCTTAAGCAAAGCATGATTGATGCATTACAAGGAAACATCTTTAAGTGTCGTAATAATTATTATACCAGTTTACACTAGTTTGGTTTTCATTTGTATTGGCGCTTACTTACATTGTACTCCAGTTTCACTGCCTTCGCGTCCAGCGCCGGTATTTCTCCATAGTACATTTGGAACATGCCAAACATTGTTGGCACATTAATTAAAGACCTATCGCTCACGTAGAAGGGTTGCAGCCGTGTGTCCTCCGTCTGAAATGGCTTAAACCAACCGGCTTTGAAGTAGATTGCGTTGGCAAGAACCAGGACGGTCTCTTCTGTGATTATTCCTGTAAAACATTCACGATATTTTTAAATTTATTTAGAAAGAATATGGTCGCATCGACCTCTCTTAGATATTAGCAACTCCAATGTCATTCACAGGAACTAGAACACTCATATTTTCTAATACAGTGATATGATAGAATACAGGTGTTCACATATGCATTAACAGTTAAAAAAAACAATTGAATAAAGGTCTCCTAAGATAGTTTAATAACTTTTATATGGTGTGAAATAGATTTAGTATACTTCTTAAATATAAAATGAATATTAAATTCATTTTCTGCTAAATTATATAATTTCGAAATAGTTGTTGAAATATGGTTTCAAACTATAATATACCCATCTTCCCTACATATTTGTTCTGGTAAATAAGAAGATAAGTCGACTATTAGCTTAAAATGAAAAATTATATACTAGTGGTCTCTCTTCATCATTCTGTATTCTTTTGTATAAACAGGAGTGATAAATTCATTCCGGTCGGGGAGTTATGGCTCCGTGAGTAATGGATGCAAATCCGTAACAAATTTCGATCATTAACTCTAACAAGATACAAGTATATTTGCCTACATATTCACGCTATAACAATAATTTTAAATTGTTAATTAACATAAAATATGTTCAGCTGTCTTTTTATTTTTGCCAGGAGATACGTTACTCTCCTGTAAAACTTAGCTTGCACCAAGTAACCAGCTTTATTCACAAAATAGGATTACCCGGTCCCAGTGAACACAGTATTTGAAGAGAAGTAGTTGTATTATAGTTTATTCTGGGTTGCATGTGCGAATCTTAACATTTAAAAACCATACGAACCCGAGAATTTTAAAAAGTTTGAACAATTCCTAATTTTCTCGTGACATGATCGCAAAGTAGTTCTCGTACTCGTACTCGTACTCGCACTACCAGAAATACAACACATATTGCCTTCGTACATAACAGTGCGTTTTGGGCCATTATCAACCGATTTCCAGTCCCACAGAAGGCCTAAAGCTACGTTTCTCGGATTGTAAAATATAAAATTAGACCTTTGGGACATTATATTACATTTTAGCCCTGAATTTCAAAATTAGACGTTGTGGATCTTACATTACACTAAGGTTTAGCTTTTCTGGGTCTCACCTTATATAGTGTTCGGAGACGAAACGTGATTCAGAAACGTGAAGAATTTTGAAATCTATGTAAAATTAAATTGGCCCGTGTTTGACTTTCTGTTTATTCATAATATTTAGTTTTTAAGAGTCTTTGTGTTAGTAGTATTATACCGTTTACGGAAGTTCAGGGTTTGACTGTTCCAAGTTGGTTTCTAAAATACATATTTTTCAGTTTTTAAAACCGTGGTTTACATTCCTGATGGCGCACGGGTTCAATTAGTTAAATTTATGATTTAATGTTAAATTTATAAATTGCTTTTAAAAAATTGCAAAATAATTTTAACTTTCAGAAATTTTAAATTAAATAATTTATTAAATTACTGCAATTCAATTAGATTAAATTTAAAGAAATTACGAGGATTTATAGTTTTAACACTAGTTATGATACATTTTTCATATTTTGATGTTATTAGGGAGTCCTATTGTTTAGTGATGCTTTGGTTCAATCAACTTGTTAATCCAGCCGTCGACATAAGGCAGTCATTTGTTTGCGCCTTGCCAGCAGACGCGACGTCGCTTACCCGGCTCGAAGAGCTCCTTGATTCTGCCCTCCGTGTACTGCTCCGTCCACCGATTAATGACGGCCCGGGAGCCTTCGGGGTTGCTCCGGAAGTCCAGCTCCCCGGCGCCGGCTTTGTAGCTTCCGGTGGCCACGCGCCGGAAGCCGTCCTGGAGGCGGAAGTTCCTCTCGGCGAAGAGCATGTTGGCGGAGCGCAGGGTGGCCTTGCCGCTGGAGTGCTAATGTGGCGAGAGGAAGGAATCGGCTTACTCACACACTCTTCCAGAGAGCCCACGGACGGAATTGGTTTCGTGGGGAAATTGCTCACCACGCGAATGCAAATTGCTTACTAGGACTTAGGGAGAGAAAAACCATTATTTATGAGATATTTAAATAAAAGTACCTTTTAAATAAGGTTATTTTTGTGACCGTCTGTCTAAACGGGGTTAACTAGTGCAATTTATTATTTCATGTTACATTTTTAAATTGCAAAAATTTATTTGAAATGAATAATTAAATTAGATTAAAATTAAAGAAATTGACAAGATTTATAATTTTAACACTCGTTTTTAATTAACACAAACCGTAAAAAATATATTATTGCGAATTGACTGTCTCTAATTAATAGATTCGGTAATCCATATATATATATATATATATATATATATATATATATATGTTACTAAATTAATTAAATGTGGATATGAAAGACTTGGAGCATGAAGAAGACAAGCGATAGCAAGTTTCTCACGATTCATAAATGTTAATATCTCGATTTTGGACGAAGCGTATCTCATTTTGTTACTACCCCAAGCTCTGCATAAAAAAAACAAAATATGTAATAAAAAGGAAAGCAACACATTCACCAAAATTGAGATGCAAACATTGCGAATAGCGGGAGGCTTGCTTTTCTTTTATTGCTCTAACCATTGAAATGGCGTGGCGTTCAGAGCACTTCTCTGTGATTGAGCTACAATTCTGGGTCAAGCGTCGAAGAGTATGTGCTCTGCCTATATACATCCGCCAAAATTGCGATATAAACATTTACGAATATCAGGGTGCTAGCTGTGGCTTATGACACCAGCGCTTCAAATGACGTGGCGTTCAGAGCACGACTTTCTTATAGCGCTCCAATCCCAGGTCGAGCGCTGAAGAGCAGCGTTTCGCCGGCGGTACCTGCAGCGTGTCCAGCAGTGCCTTGTAGCCTGCCGCCGTGGCCTGCAGGTCGGGGCTGAGCTGCAGGGCGTGCGTGAGCTGCTGCTCCGTGACGCCCCTGGCCCCGTGGCGGGTGAGCGCCAGCAGCACCGCCGCGCTCACCGGCGAGATCACCACGTTGCCGCCTTCCGCCGCCACCGCCTGAAACAACCGCGCGCACGTCAGGGCGAACCTTCTACGCGTGGTATGACAGGAGTCAAGGCCTGAGTCGCGTGCTGGTGGAGGAGTAGACATGTCCACTCGGTTTCCTGAGGATCCTGGCAGAACCACATCTACAATGCAAGAGTGTTCAGACGGGAGGAAGCTGAGCCCTTACGGATGTTCCGGGTAGTCTTGAATTGATTGAATGACTGAATGACTATGACCTATTGATTGAACGACTGAATGATTGAACGACTGAATGATTGAACGACTGAATGATTGAACGACTGAATGATTGAATGACTGACTGATTGAATGACTGACTGAATGATTGGATGATTGATGTTTCCGGGAGCGTCAAAGGTCATTAGTCTCGGAAGTGTAGTGTATGTTTTATCTTCGCCAGCTGGATGGCGAGATCCGGCGCCGACCTACACGGCATGCGGGGATTTCCTCAACTAGGTATCTCCCACCAGTAGGGCACCAGCCGAGGCAAGCCTTAATCCAAGTCCATAAGAGTTCTCTGAATTAACCGACGGTAGGTCGAGCCTACTCGCGTCTTACCTCAGATGAGCGCGGCATTCACTTGGAAACTGATCAACTAAAATGCTGTTTAAAGAAAGAAAACACAAATTGTGTATTTTTTCGTAATTAAATAATGTGCCTAGCCCAATAATGTTATATTTATTATTGCGCTTTGTTATTTCATATTTTTATTTACCTTTATTTTCGTTAAAATTGTGAAAGAAACTTGCTAGTTCAAATAAAAGGGAAAATGTATATTAACCATATTTAACATAATTAATCAGAATGACCCTGTTTACTTAATCTTTAGCCAAATTTTCGAAACTTTTGTTTGGAGTTTCGGATCTGAAGTGATTGTTTCCAACATATCAATATGGTTGTCATTTTATTCTACCAATATTCTGTCTTTGTGACCACTTAAGCATAAGGGTTACTCAAATTGTATTGGCTGCATCATTGCTAGTGGTAATCAGAGACTCTGCATAAAATGAACATTGTGTTTCTGACTTAAGAATTTGTTGAAAATGTACTTCAAAATGCTCCTGAACCAGCGTTTTTTGGGTTCAGTTAACTGCCCCCAATATATAGTAACTTAACATAGCACGCGGTTATTCAGGTCTCTACATCAAGATAAGCATGTGCTTTCTGCTTAAGGATTTGTTAAATGAACTTAATATGCACGTTTCTAAACCTGCATTTTTGGGATTCAGTTAATTGCATCAAATATTCTTTCCCCAGGGGCATATATGAACAGAAAGCAAAGTGGAAAATTTAATATGACTATTGTATGTTGTCAACACGGAGTTGTCACATTCACTTTTGGAGTTTAAAAATTGGGCATGGAGAAAACAGGAGTCTAGTAGGCGAGAAGGCTGAGTTGTGTGTTCCAGTGCACTAGTATGTTACGTCACATTAAATACATATAGCCTCGAGTCTTGGAAACAAGTTTTCCCACAATTATGAATGGGTAAAAAAATAAAAAAACGTACGAAAAAGCAACAAGCAGAGAGCTGGGAACCACCATCGGGGTGGAGGAAAAGACTCGAAGCATTCTCTTCGAAAATGGGCGCAGGAGAGTAGCTCAGTGATGACGCACGAGAATGGAAAGGTGAACATCCTGAGTGGGATTCCCATGAGCAGAATAATTCGGAGAAAAAATATTATGTTCACTGTGCGCTTGCTGCTAGGGAGTAGGGAGGGGCGATGTAATCGCGATTAGTACAACACTCGATTATTTTATGCGATTATTCGAAAAATTGAAATCGATTATTTTTACACTGATTAATGTACGTATCGATTAATTTTTACGATTTTTAGCTCAATTATTTTAATTCAAATATTAATTTTCAAGACGATTATGTATGTTCTAATATTTCAGTTATGGTATTATATTCAGTATGAAATAAGAAAGAGAATTACCAGTTGTTCTAAAATCGTAATTCGCGAATGTTGTTCAATCTTTATGGATACTAACAAATTAAATGTCAAACTTAACGAAAAATATTCATATATATCAAAGATAATAAATATTAGACACAGTACAGCTAGTACATAGGTAGGTTCATTCTTTAGATTATTTAACTCATGTGATCTCGGCCAATGGCATCGAAGAATTCTTTCCTTATGAGTCAATCGCTGCTGCAATCCTCATCGTGTCGTATCGATTTTGTCTTACAGCTACCTTGTTGCTAATCAGATGTTATGATCACGGAGTACTTAAGACTCATCTGAATCCGGCTGAGTCACAGAACGCGTCAAATAATGACATCATTAGAAATTTAACTTTGCACGAGCCAGATCCCAATGCCACGTACAAGCGCCCGAGAGATACTCTGCAGTAGGCATAACGCCAAAACATGCAAGAAAATGGCGGTGAACAATGCCAAAAGCGCGCCGAATGGCTAATGTCTTCTCTGACCTTGTTTATTTTCTATGCTAAAGATCAGGCATACATGTCCGAAAGGATAGGAATTGCTTACTGCAGGGTCGTGTGGCAGCATTGCACCTGACGACGACACGGAACTGTGCTGCATAGTGAGCGGCTGAGTCACAGAAAAGGTTTAGGTCTTGTAAGTTATTTAAATTATAAATGAAAACCGGGATCAAGAATTAAAGCTGGGTTGATATTTCAATGCTCCCAACCTATCAAAAAAGGTACATGATGCACAAATTGATTGTTGGTCCTAATTTAATATTTAAATGAACAAAAATGTATACATTAACAGTGGGATTCGAAACAAAAATAAAAAATTGCAACTCATTCTGTACGTACAACAAGAAGTATCACGTGTGATTCAGGTTAGCGTATAATAACAAAAACTAATTCCAATGACAGGCCATACAAGTGAATCATCACAAAAGTCCTTATTCACCTCATCTTACCTAAAGTGAATTTATCGAACTTCTAGTAGTATTAACTTGTACAATACATAATAAGTGACTAAGATAATTTACTATTAAACCAAACATTACTTTTATGACGAAGATTGACCATGAAGATTCTGGTTTAAAAGTATTTTAAACAAATTGATGCATATAGGATTTAGGAACAACTCTGCAGGTTAATTCTTTTAATCACCGACCGTTAGGTTAATAAATAAAATTGTCTTCACTTCTCTTCATTCGTTTTCTCTCATTTTACTATTGTAGTCATATTTATCCACGTATCGTGGTTATTCTAGTATGTTTCGAATTTTTATTTTATTTTATTTTTTAGTCAAAAAGAAGTAAAAGCTGTTTGTGATGTATGAGGGAGAAAACCGTCTGCGCACTTTTCTTGAGTTCCAAAATCCCTTCCGATCATTTTAACTACAAATAGTTGAAATGTGAGTAAAAGCTAAAGAAAATAAATAAAATTAAAATATAAAAAAAATCGAGATTAGCAACATTTGAAAGATTAGACATTTTCGTTCCCGAATTATAGAAAACTTATTTGCATCGGTTAACGAACTGCAGATTTGATTTTTCTACATTGCTAACAAAATAGTAACTAACCCTTACCTACAAGCGAAAGAATTCAACTAAACGTGCGCATAATGAAGCTACATTTACGTCCAGAAGCAAACCATGGGACCATCTCAGGTTTTGCTCAAGGAAACTGGACAAAAACCTGATCGGGATCGGAATTTCCTTTCTTGTTAGCCTCCTTCAGACAACATTCTGCGCTTTACCAGTAATTGGATCTCGTTGTAGAAGATGGGAGGGGACGAAAGCTTTCCAATCTGGCAAGAATCGTTGACCTCCCTACATATAACGCGGCGAAATGTCGAGAAAGGCTCTCGCAGCGTTGATTACACTTTCCTTCAGAAAGGATATGAAACATCTGGAGGAATGTCATCAACATCAAAATTCGCGAACACACAACGGCGGTTCCTCATCTAATGCTAAAAAACAAAGGCTTCATCGATAAATTCTAATTGAGAAATATTGGTGTATGGGCAAAATTTGAATATTATTATTATTATTATTATTATTATTATTATTATTATTATTATTATTAAGAAGAAGAAGAAAAAAATAATTTAAATCTATAGTCATCTATTAAATAAATATTTTCTCGTGGGTATCTTGAACAACAAATGAGACAGAAAACAAATGAGACCAAATTTGTTTCAATGGAGACTTATGTGCTCCATTATTAAGTATTCAAGAAATACAATTTTATCAAATGCACGATAAATTCAAAACTCTTGGTGTTTCAAACTTATTAAAATATGTACGCAATTTTCGTAAAGAGACTGATTTCAATTTCGAAAGGGGCAACTTACTCCGGCCACCCCCTCCCCGAGTCCAACACCGTGCGTCCGCAAAGGAGATGAACCGAGGACTCCGAGGGAAAACCCAAGGCGAGGGCGCGAGCGCTGCCGGACCAGATCAAAACCAGTTCGGGGTGGGGAAGCCCAACGACCGTTCATGAACGAGGAAATTGCAAGCGATGCGCGGATACAATGCAACATGCGGCCATTGAAAGAAATCGTAATCACTCATAAATATTTATGGTCTAAGAATATTACTTCTAATCTATGATACATTAGGGTACAGGGTATTTTGTGTAAAATTGAACCCTCGGAAGGGGTTTGAACGAAACATAGAAAAATGCTTTTTAAATATTAAACTAACAAATTAATGCAAACATTACGTTTCGACCTCGAAAAAACAAAAGAAAACTAATTACATATTCTACGTACATATTAATCATAATATACATTATTTTTTTAAGTTTGTTGAAGTAAGTTTAGTCAATATTACTACAAAAATATAGTAACCGCAGAAAATATTTTACTTTATTATTTAATTGTTGCTCTCATATGCGAAACAAAATCTCGGACCACCTTTAATTACAAACAAGGCATGAAAGTAGGGTGAAAGTGCTGTTACAACTTGAACTCTGAAACACTGCGTTACCTGTGTCTCTTTTGCAAATTGACAAAAACTTCAGAATTAAATAAAATTTAATTTCTTGTAGCACAAAATGGTAATAATATGGCAATTTTTTCTGCTATAGTGTAGTGATTTCGAACGTGAAATTTTCCCCAAAACTACATTTATTAGAGGTTTCTCTAATAAGTTCCTTGGAAGGCTACATCTGTGCAAAGATAGTGCGCATATCGTCTATTTCTGAGGTGTTCTGCACTTTTCATGTGGAAAGGGTCGAAACCAGAGAGACATTTCCAGATAGCTAAGACTGATTATGAAGGAGACAGTGGATTGCAGTAATATCTCCTTGTGATGCAGATTCTTTGCCGAGAGTCGTGTGACCATGCTGACTTTAACAGGCCGGGCGACCTGTAACAGCATCGAGTGAACGGAATGTCATGGCCATTGAAAAGGTGATTCGACTGAACGTTCGTAAAGTGAGTGTTCGGAGAGTTCCAAAGAATCTCGCAAACCTTCTTAGGGGGAAGGAGGGAATGATACTCCAGAACCACCACGCAACTAGACGTTTAGGTGTTTCACAAGGCGCTGTACAGTCAGGTTCTTGCACCACCCAACTGTCGAACCTATAAGCTGGCTAAGATTTCAGTTTTATGTCCAAGTCAAATCGGTCGTGGGAATATGTCTCCGCGCATAAAATACGGCTTTTACGCAGAGAATATTTGAAAACTTGTTCCGCGGTGAAAAAATGTCTTGAGGGGCTTGGTTGCTTTGTTGAAAAATAGTGCATACATGTGAAATTTGTGTATTCTGAGCGTGTTGCCTATAATACCATCTGCAACATAAATAATTGTACGTTACTTATTGACCTACCCTCCTATTAAAAATTAAGATTCTGAAACTTTGATCTCGCTGTCTCGTGGCTTCTCGAGAGACGTCTCATTCTAAGTCATCTGTGATCCGTCATCTGCGAGCGGTTCAGGCTTCCAAACCTGAAAATCTAATACAACTAGGCTTACCTAAAAATTGAGCAGAGATGTTTCTATAAGTACACAGATGTCAGATTAAAGGTCGGCTTATGCTCCATCAGGAAGAAATAGATAATGAAGTTTGTCCTCATTAACTAGATCTGGTGGTCCATTCAACTTCTTACCAATTTTGCTCTAGTTTCCACTTGGCTTAATTTCCCAGGTCTGGTTGAACATTAGACATGTTTCGCGACAACATTTTTATTTGGCTTTATTTACAGTCGACGTGTCAAGGTCGTGGACAAGGTAAGTAGCTCACCAGAGTTTGCGGGCACTGCGTCAAGAGAAATTGGCGCGGAAGTTTAAAATATGGGTTGTACAATGTTACGGATTGACTTATTGATTGTCTTAGTGATTCCGGACACGTCAACTAACGGTGTCATTAGTACCGTAAGTGTAATGCATTTTTTGCTCGAGAGGTGGCGGTGATCTTTCCTTCGCTGTATGGCGAGATTTAGCGCCGACCTACCAACGGCTAGCGGGGTTTTCCCCAACCAGGTATCTCCCATCAGCGGAGCACCGCCCCAGCCGGGTCAAGCTCTAAGCTCCCGACCGATCTCCCGGCATGTGTGCTTGTATAGTGCGTTTTAGTGCGTGTGTAAGTCGAGAGAATAGGACAAGGAAGAGGTAGGAAAGATCGCACGCGGTCCGTGGCCCGTATGGTACGGTACAGCACCGGTACTCGTACAGGTCATCAACTCATGTCATTACAGTGGCTCTGACAGGGAGATTCTAGAGTTCGAGCCTCGATGGCGGTAGGATTTTCGAATTGAGCCGCTGTATTGATGAAAATTAGGCTGCTCTGATCAACACCAAGGAAATGCCGGAGCAGTACCCTAACAAACGAGTCACGGACCACGCCTTCCTCTTCCTTGTCATTTCCTCAACCCCTTACAAACACACTTAGACTCGCTTGCATTACACATCTACACAAGTCGGGAGACCAATCTGGAGCTTAGAGCTTGTCCCGGCTGGCGCAGTGCCACGCTATTGGGAGATACCTCGTTTCGGGAAATCTTCGCCAGCCGACGCCGGTCGGCACCTTATCTCGCCACCGATCAGGGGAAGACCACTGCCCCCTCACGCGATAAAAACATGCACCGCACTTACGATAATAATGGCCTTAGCAGATGACGCGCCTGGAATCACTAACAAAGCACACAAACATATTTTCGTATGAATCTGCTATTCCCTGTGTTGCGCCGCTTCGACATGCGCGTGAAAACCCCTTTCTGGATTTGGAGGGAAAATGAGGGCGGTGTCCGGGGAATTTGCCCGTGCTCGCAAGAGCACCGGTCTTCCCAGATGGACAAGTAGCTCTTGCGGGCGAGTTTTGGCATGCCTAATTTATATCTAGTGCTTGTGTCTTTGACTTTTTCCGAGCCTGGTTGTGCGTGTGACTTTGTTTCTCGCAGGTACGTTCCCCTTTAGCTTCATTTTCAGCTTCTAGTTGACCTTTTATCTTTATTTTCTATGAGTGGTTGGGCATTTGGCTATTCCCGAGACTAAATTTTGGATATATTTTATTTACACCTTTTAGATATCCCATTTCCTTTTTATCAGGGGCTGATTTAGCGTTTGACTTTATTTCTCAAGCGTAATTTCCATTTTATTATTAAGATTAAGTTTTAAATTTGTTGTCACAATATAATTATATTTAATTGTTGTTCAGACCCTTTTTTATATTTTGGACAACTATAAACTCTTCCAAAAAACTTTTACGTAATAATGGGCAAATTGAGTACAGTATAGATTTATTTGTTGTTGTTTTTGAAATTTTGTGAAAATCATTTTGACTTCATTGGCCTTTTATAATTAAATTTTCAGTTGTACCTGATGAGGGAGGCAGAACAGTCTCCAAAACGTCGTATGAATAACAAATAAATACAATTACTTTATACAATTTTTTTGGAAGGGTTTATGGTAGTTTTTCAAAATTTTAAAAAAAGATAATTAACAACTATTAAATGTAATTTCCATTTGACATCTAATTGTCCTTTTGGATTTATTTTTTCGGCCTGACAGTCCATTCGGCGGCGCCAGAGCCTTCTAACTCCCATATAACGTGGTGGAAACCATTACGGTGGCGCGCTCTGCTGCATCACCTTCTTACAGGAACTAAAACACCAACTGCTGCCAACGATGCTTAAAACGTGCGTGGGAGCTACCTAAGTTCGCGGGTCGCAAGAAGGGCGAGTATGTTCCAAAACATAGCGCCGATTTTTCGTGCTTTCTTCAGGGGTTTCTTATATGCGCATATTATGAATAATTGAACATTTAAAAGACACTTTTCTCATTTCTCACAAATTTGCCAATTTTTTATGTGCGGAAGTTGGCGAGCTGTACATGGCGACACTAGCGCCTCCTAGAGTAGCACCCTCCCCTGTTTTGATGGAGAGTTGCAAGGCCCTGTGCACCAGGGCCCGGCAACTCTCCATCAAAATCGGGGACAAAGCTTGAGGTTGCTACTATAGGAAGCGCAGTGTCGCGGGTGCAGCTGCCAGGTTGGGATCGCCAACATTCCATATACAAATTGGCTTAATTTGTTGAGAAATACGAAAAGTGTCTTCTACTGTACAATTATTCATAATCTCTACTTGTAAGAAACCTGCTGAAGAAAGCGCGAACGTAGACGTTAATCCTGTTTTTAACATGATGGGCCTGCTTGCGACTCGCAAACTCCAGCGCAGCCAGTCAAGCACGTTTAAAGTATCGTTCGGCAGCAGTTTCGTTTTAGTTCCTGTAAGAGAAGGTGATGCAGCAGAGCGCGCCACCGTAATGGTCTCCACCACGTTATATGGGAGTTATAGGGCCCTGCTGTGCACGCTCACCTGGTAGAGGCGCACTGAGAAGGCGTTGGCGGCCGCCACCACTTCATCCTGCGCTTGCTGCTCCCTATCTGCTGACGACGCCGCCACCGCCGGCGCTGGTGTCGCCTTCCCAGGCGCCGCAAACGCTGCAACAGACGGCGGCGACCGGGGTTATTGGGGAGAATTGTCGCGCAGCGTATCGTTAAAAAACGCCACGCTGGTCGTTGGAGGCAATATCATGCGCATATCAATACGCTGGTCGTTGGAGGCATAACATTTGAAGTGTGAAAAGCGTTTGAGTCCTGTCAGCTAGAAAATGTGTTCTAACTCGCAGCACTCACAGTGCTGGATATTCGAATTGACATGTCATATTACCAGCTTGTACAGCACCTTTCAAAACTCAATTACAAATGTTTAAGTGCTACGAAGAATTGCAAGTAGTGTTTTGGGGGCAATTAGAATTGACACTTTTCATGTCGAAGCGCAGAAATTGCCGCGCGCCGCCGGTCCAAGGGCTGTTACTCGTACGCCGCGCAGTCGCTATCCGCCTATCGGTTGGCAGAGTGTCTATCGTCTCGGAGGGCATGTAGGGGGACACAACGGCTGTTTACATGGCATGTTCGAAAAATCGAGAAGGTCGAACACCAATAATCCAATTACAATTATTTCAAAGATAGGTCTCAGAAATACTATCTCGATTTACGATAAATAAACAATTATTTTTCACTTTTGCATAAATGATCCAATTGCAATTAATACAAAGGTGGGTCTCTGAAAAAGTTACCTCGATATAGGAGAAAAAATAAGTCCATATATACATTTCAATTTTGCGTTTTAAAACCAAAATTTTCACAATAATGGTCTAATAAACAATGTCTAATTAAAATATAGAGAGTAACACAGAATTTCATTCAACGCACCGTATATGAATTTCCTCTTTCCATAAATAGTATTGGTTTACAATATCCTCTCTATTGACTTAGAACTAAACAGAAACAAATGGAAATGGCATTTGCCATCAGTTGTAAAATAACGAACGCAACTAGAAATCTGACACCGATTGATAGACGCCGCGTAATGATTCTAGGGCTGCCGATACAACTGTTTGCCGGCTGCGGGAGGTGCGGAAGTCACTGAAGATCTTGTTGCAAAACGTCTCTAAAGCACTAATTCTAATGCTCCGTAGCCCTTCAAAATGTATGTATGTGGGTTTTGCATTGTGTCCTAACAGCTGGCGAAATTTTGTGTAAATACGTGTATCTAGCACGGTGAGTGTTGGATGTAAAACTTCAAGAATGGAAGTAGTGACGAACTGTGACAGTGTGTGCTAGTTACGCAAAAGTTCCTTAATCCCATGTCCTCTTCAATCCAATTGTTCGTCTAGAGGTGTCTACCATCGGGGTTCACCTTGTAAATTCAGGATTAGTACCAAATTCCGCGCGGCGATTGTTTAACGGTTAGCGTATCGGACTGTTGTACCCAAGTTAGCGGGTTCAACCCCGATCGAAGCCGCGGGAAAAATGCGGCGAAAGCCGTGGTCGAAATAAGAACGAAAAAATCCTTCGTACGCCTTTCTTCGAAGGGGAAGTAAAGCCAGTTGTCCCATGTTAGTAGATTTACTTGCATGTAAAAGATCCTCAAGCTTAAATGACGCCTCTGAGCTAAATTCTCTTTCTAAAGCCTGTTTCTCCCCAAGAAGTACCTCATTTCTCTGCTAGTTGGTGAAAGGAACGTAGCGAAATTTGTGTGGTCAGACGGAAGAGCAGGCCTCATGGCATGAGTCTCGCCACGTAAAATAAGGCATAAATTCAATTCAATTCAATTAAAATTGCCACAGTTGGAAACAAATTCCTTTTAACGTGATTAAGTGACGTATATAGTAGTATACGATACAATTCACTTGATTTCTGCACCATATAATGCTGGTAATGAATCACTTTCCCATTCGGCTAATTATATCATAACGTTCGCATAAACTCAAAGGGTGTTCACATCGTGCACGATACATACTACGTAGTAAAAACTCTCCATTCATTAGTCACGTGGTGATAATACAGGGAGACGCCACGACGACATGGGCTTAACAACCAAATTCTGAATGCTGACGTCATGTGGTCATCCCACCATAGGCAATCCCCAAAAGCGGTTTATGTAAATCCCACCATTAGGCGCGATGACAATGCTATTGATGCTGCTGATGTGGGATGATGCGATGAATAGTTAGAACGAGTCCATGGAAATAAGATGTGGGAAATTGGCAGAACCTCCAAGAAACCTGTCGCAATCTTGCTTTATGCACCTCATATTCCTTAAAGATGAGCCGGTATTTGACGCTGCACTGTTCCAATAAATATTTATTAGAACTCTTTATTTTTATTCTCATGGTGTGTTTTAGCACATCACTAGTTTGATTGTTTATATATATATAAATGAACTATTTTGATATAGAGTCAGCCACGTCAAGTGTTTGTTCCCAAGAGCAGAAAATATTAATAATCCACGACTGCCTTTTCCGTTTCATTCATTTGTGAGTTTTTGAATTTCTTTGCCCCTTACCAGGTTTAGGATACACGGACACACGCAAAAATTCCTGTAGTTGGTCAAAAAACTGTATTTTAATGAAACTCAATCATAATTATATAAAACGAGCTACAGCACGTAATTAAAAAAATTAACAGAAAGAACAGAAAATATATTTTTGTAGTCCGACCGACTTTGTACTGACAAAGTGATTGTGTCAAGTGATTTAATGAGTAAAATAAGTATGATTTTCAAATGTACTAGATTCTTTGGAAAAATAATGGAAAATATACGAATACAAATCCCACGGCATTTTCGTTTTCTCATAGAGACAGAAAGAGAGAGTTCAAATCGTGTAGCTTCTTCCCTAACAATTTACACAACGAAAATAAATGACTTACTGTTGAACACAGGGCATGGCTTGGGTTTGTAGATATTAACATCATTAGGCACGCAATAGCAAATAATAGACGCGATGGAAGTTTGTAATCCGTGGCGATAGCCGAGAAATGAGTCTGCTATTTGCGCTTTCGGCCTTGTTATTAAATACTTTTGGTATTTTATTCTTTTTATAAAAAACAATAACATAAAAGCGTGAAATTGCGTTTCTGGGAATAAAGGCACTCATATATGATCTTTAGGTACTTTTAATTTGTTTCGATAACGAACAGTGGACCGTAAAATATTTATCGGATGCTGATGTTGAAAATGGATTTTCATTCCTCTTATTGGCTGCATTAATTTCATAATTTATAACAGTATAGTATTTCAGAAAAAGTATATGATACAATCCAAAAATATGCATTGTATTCCGCATATTAACCGAATGCTTTTAACTCAGTGGGTGGTCTGAGAATAGTCTCCTTGACTTTCAGAATGGAAAAATGCTACGTATGCGCTGATTTATCTACAGTTCAACTCTTCCGACATCTACACAATGCGAGCACGTGATGGTTTTGTGGTTGGAGTAGGTCACGAACCGTGTACGTGATCACCTTATCCTTAAGAAGGAAAACATCACCTGACAGGCTGAAAATTTTCTTTCTACAATGTCATTAGAGGAATAAGGAGGAATTAATATTGTTTTTTACTACCATACTGACCGAAACAATGTTATTCTTTTCGCTGTGAGATTTAGGAATGCCACCCAATGGCAACTTTTGCACAAATCGACGGATTTTTATAGTGGAAAAAGAACAGTATTTTCTTTCAGCCTGCGAGTGATACAGACGAAAAGACTTGCTGAAAATGTCATATTCTGTTGATATAATTTATTATAATGTCGAAAATAATAAAACTAATAATTGTATTGTACAATAAACAATAATATTAGTAACGTTAAACATTATAAATATTATTATTATTATTATTATTATTATTATTATTATTAAATGACAATAAGTAACAAATATTTAAATCAACATATTGAATATGCCCGAATGCTGACCAACCGAACTCTTCACCTTCAGATTTAAAGATATCGATTGAATCCTTATTATTTACATTTCGAATTTCCCTTATTAAAAATTCCTGTCACTTTTCTTTCTTTCAATAACACACATCAATTCTAACTATTCATATATCAATTTAGTAAAAGACTTCTTTTCGTAGTTGACACAATTTTAATTATGCAATTTAATTAGCATGTGTACAACAGATGCTACCAATTACATAGGTAAATCTTACAGGTGTTCAAGGACTTTCCATAATTTTTTTAACCACCCCAGGGAACTGGAGGCAGAGTTCGCTAAGTCACGAAACCGAATGTAATTGCCGTGGGTTACGTAAACGCAACGCTCCTCGGGGATATTCCCAGTTCCGTGAAGATGCCCTGAGCAGAAGGCGGAGTTGCACCTCGTCGCCACTGGCTGCGCTCTCAAGCGGATAATTACCCGCTTCGCTAAGTTAGGGCTGGGTTTTGTTTTGCGACAAGAGAACAACGAAAGCGAATGTTTGCACTAATAGTATTTGTGTGTTACTGGCGCTATGATATTGTTTTCGATACGGAGTGGCGTAGCCTCCGCGAAATACTCTGCGCAACCTTTCTGAATGGAGAGGATCGTGGTTACGAGAGAAATATGAAACTAGTTGAGTGATACTACATGTAGGGAATTATGGGAGGGAAATCAGTACACATCAAGTAAAATTAACATATACGGTAGAACATTTTTATTTTGGAGAATGGCAGATTAAGAAATTAAATTCTAAGAACTATGGGACATACTTGTTTTCAAAACTTTGGGTCTGAAAGAGCTATACACTTCTATCTTAGCATCCGGCGGCTTTAAAACACCTAAAATGACGATGAAGATGCTCAGAATTTTCAGAGAGGCCGACTAACTTTGACGCCTAATTAATCCAAAAATACTCGTAGTTTCGAAAAATTCAAAATGACCTTAATTGAAAATCTGTTTATGATGGACACATTCCATTAATAAAAAATGTATCTTCATAATGGTAGTTGTAGGAAGTCACCGAAAACATTTTGAATTTTTTCAGTTGTCGAAAAATTAGGGTTTTCAATCAACATAAGACCTGCTCCACTATCGTAAACGTCATTTAGACTATTTAACAACAAAATTTAATTATAATAGATGTTGCCATCTGTTTGAAAATTTCGAAAATGTCGCGGGTAATTCATGTAA